CCAACCAATCTACACTTAAAGCGATGTAGGTATTGCACCTATATGGTATTCCATTGCAACAGTAACCCCATGTTTCATCGGGTTCGATCCCCGACAGCGTCATACCAAAAGACGTTAAAATATTGTACATGTTGGTCCCTGCCTGGCGCTCGGCATTAATGGGTACAACAAGGACTGGTCGGCTCGGATTCAGTATAATGTGTCTGAGTGGGGTATTCATGCTTCACTGCGGCATGGTATCTCAGTGGGCTAGCACTATAAAACCAGCTTAAGTCTGGGCTAGTACAAGCAGCCGGACATACACATACACACGCATGCACGTCGTCATATGAGCGAAATATTCTCAAGCACGACGTTAAACCCAATTCCACCACCACCATGTTTCATCATGTTAGCAATATGTATGTTAATAACGTATCGAACCTCGTCACATTGTGCTTTATGTCAAGGTTAGGTAGCAGCTGTTCATAAACTGAATATGAATATGGTAAATTCATTTCAAAATAAACTTTCATTGATACTGTTACGGATAACTGATCGTTGTGATTGTAACAGCTTTGAAAAGTATTTCAGTTAAAAATGTAATCAACTGCAATCGTTGATTAAACCAGACCCAGCGGTTCCTGACATTTCCAAGCGGCATAACACTGCAGAGCGAATTCTCGGTGCCATAGACGATATGTCGGGTTATTCACCTAATGAAGGGTCAAGAACTAGCCATGAAACGTCGTGTTGTAAATAATAAAGTTGTAAATCCATACCATACATTGTTATGTTACCTTCCAGCTTCTCGTCATATGAGCGAAATATTCTCAAGTACGACGTTAAACCCCATTTCACCTCACCTCACCTCATCTTCCAGCTTCTAAATGCTCATCAAGCATCTGGTATATCAGGTTGTTGCATAAACGTTGTCGTATGAACTTACAAATCCCGACTTACATCTGATACACATAATTCCACAATATGTTTACAGAACTGAATATACGTGGCACTGTCGTCTTGGCAACACTGTCGAGTCACAATGACAAAACCCAGCGGAGATACGGGTTACAATTGGTCTTCAAGAACCCATGCCTGCCGGAAGAGGCGGCTATTGGGATCGGGTTGTCAGGCAAGCTGACTTTATTGGTGACGTCATCACAATCGCGCTGACCGATGCTCACGATATCAATCACTGGTTTAGACTCTATTATTGACAGACTGACGTCATATAATTGGAAAGTTGTTAAGTACGACGTTAAACAATACACAACAAAATGAACAAATAAGAAAACTGAACATATTCGAATAAAATAAGAGGCTATACCACATACTGATACATCAAATAGCTTCCGTTATATAACGATTTCTCGACAAACCGAGGTATCTTTACAACCTTAGATTAGAATGTTTCCTACAAGTTAACTAGAGACGTTTCTCAAATATCACAAGTTCATTTGATAGTAGGACTGGGTTTGGCTGGATTATGCGTTCGCCCTGATGCGCGGCTGTGTTGCCGGCGATAACACTCATATCTGCCCGCCATGCTGGTGCTGCACGTAGAGGGGCATCACATTTCAAAATGGCAGACATTATGGTAATCATTTCACAGGTGTTGGTGTTTAAAACAAATCTAAAACATCCATCCCGCATTCATTTACCGATATATGAACAACGCTTTATTCACAATGTAGAAGATGAACAAAACTAAAGAGCTGGTTCTACAGCAATATGTCCGTGTTACGGGAAGCTGTGATTTACACTATAGATTACTGGGGGTTTGGGGAGATTAATCGCATCATTTATTGCAGTAACAGGATGAGGCAGCTGAAGGTGCTGCTATCTCCCTCACCACACCTGGCCATCCACGTTCACATACTGGAGGGAGATGCGCAATGAACACAAAGACACGTTATTACTTGGATACACAGACCTACATTATATGATGCGTGACGACAGAGACCTCATTACTCCAAGAGATACAATTCCTTCATGGAAACAGAGACCCGTGAAGGTCCGGGTTAGAATATTGATTTTTCAGTAACCCACTGCTTGTCTTCAGAGGCGACTAACGGGATCGGGTGGTCAGGATCGCTGGCTTGGTTGACACATGTCATCGGTACCCAGTTGCACAGATCGATGCTCATGCTGTTGATCACTGGATTGTCTGGTCCAGACTCGATTATTTACAGACCACTGCCATACAGCTGGAATATTGCTGAGTGCGGCGTAAAACTAAACACACTCATGTAAACAGAGCACTCCATTACATGATGCGTGAAGACAGATTCATCATTACTCCAAGAGACACAATTCCTTCATGTAAACAGAGACCTACATTACATGATGCGTGAAGACAGAGACCCCATTACTCCAAGAGACACAATTCCTCCAAGAGAGACACAAACAGAGCAGACCTACATTACATGATGCGTAAACAGAGACCTTGTTACCTACATTCCTTCAAGTAAACAGAGACCTGATGCGTGAAGACAGAGACCTCATTACTCCAAGAGACACAATTCCTTCATGTAAACAGAGACCTACATTACATGATGCGTGAAGACAGAGACCTCATTACTCCAAGAGACACAATTCCTTCATGTAAACAGAGACCTACATTACATGATGCGTGAAGTAAACAGAGACCAGAGACCTCATTACTCCAAGAGACACAATTCCATTGATGCGTGAAGTAAACAGAGACCTACATTACATGATGCGTGAAGACAGAGACCTCACATCCAAGAGACACCTCATTACTCCAAAGAGAGACACAATTCCTTCATGTAAACAGAGACCTACATTACATGATGCGTGAAGACAGAGACCTTCATTACTCCAAGAGACACAATTCCTTCATGTAAACAGAGACCTACATTACATGATGCGTGAAGACAGAGACCTCATTACTCCAAGAGACACAATTCCTTCATGTAAACAGAGACCTACATTACATGATGCGTGAAGAGACAGAGACCAGAGACCTACATTACTCCAAGAGACACAATTCCTTCATGTAAACAGAGACCTACATTACATGATGCGTGAAGACAGAGACCTCATTACTCCAAGAGACACAATTCCTTCATGTAAACAGAGACCTACATTACATGATGCGTGGAGACAGAGACCTCATTACTCCAAGAGACACAATTCCTTCAATGTAAACAGAGACCTACATTACATGATGCGTGAAGACAGAGACCGCATTACTCCAAGAGACACAATTCCTTCATGTAAACAGAGACCTACATTATATGATGCGTGGAGACAGAGACCTCATTACTCCAAGAGACGCAATTCCTTCATGTAAACAGAGACCTACATTACATGATGCGCGAAGACAGAGACCGCATTACTCCAAGAGACACAATTCCATGATGTAAACATACATTTTCATGAAATCATGTGTGCATAAAATGTAGCTCGTGATATGTAATATATGGAAAGAAGTACTCAAGACACGCTGCCCAATTGGATATTCTTGGTTAGAATTGATCCACAGCAGCCTATGCTTGTCAATACAGGTGACTAAACCGACTGAGTGGTCAGTTTCGGTGGCTGGCTTGCGTGACTCTGTATCCGTAGGCGTGACTCCTTGCTCATTATAATCAATCACTGGATTAGCTGGTCGAGAGTCGATTATTTACACTGTGATACGGTTTGTTAAATGCAGCTACGACGTTGAACAGCAACCATACAGACAGAGTGTCATGTGATAATGCATATACCTGCATATACTCTCAGAAGAGTTCCCAGGGATACTGATGTAAAAATGAAAGTACACACATGGATTATTTTTCAAAACGTCAATATTTTAAAAAGTGTTTACATTGTGACTTAAAAGCACCTAACTGATTACATTTTATTGCACTTACATAGCAACATGCATGTACATGTCTGCGTCCATGCGTGCGCGTGTGTGTGCGTGTGTACAAAACAGGATTTATGCCGATATGCTGGTGCTGACCCACTGAGACACCATGCCAACATCCTGACTCGATCACAACCCGCCGTTATATCATCATTTTAATGCCCCACATCAGACAGGATAACAAGTACCATTTTAACGTCATACAGTATAACGCAACTGTGGGATCCAAACCCGGACAGACGCTCCGCTGGACCGCGGTGGAGGCCACATACAAACAATACCTGGTCAAATACCACATAGCGAGCGAGTATGGTTTTACGCCGCTTTTTTGCAATATTCCAACAATATCACGGCGGGGGACACCAGAATTGGCTTCACACATTGTACCCATGTGGGGAATCGAACCCAGGTCTTCAGCGTGACGAACGGACGCTTAACCATTAGGCTACCCCACCGCCCCCAAATACTAGTACCACATAGAGATCCAGCCCCGCGGTACATATTGTATACACAGCTTGTGTTGTTCGTTACGTGACCTATTCTGATGGCGAGATAGCACAGCATGTGTCGTGTTCTGGAAATACGCCTATATAATTTCATATGACACGGGCCATACACACCAATCTGACTGCACACTGGTAAATACAATGACAATATTATCGCGAGATGAATCCGTTATTGCGTGTAAGCCAGCCTACAGTGAGAGGCTTGCTCAGAACACTGCCTCACCTAGGTATGTATATCATATAGCGTTATTAACAATCTACAGCGATAAGGTAAATGCTATAGATTATTTGAAAAATGCATATATTGGGGCCTAGTCAAACTTCTAATTAAGTCTCGTCAAGATATATTTCTCATGTAGTGAAGACTAATATGAACAAATAATTTCTCAGAACAATTCTATATTACAAGATAACATCAGAACGACAATGTGGTCTACTTGGTCTAGTAGGCTGTTCCCCAAGATTTATTCCTCCCACCTGTAAACGTGCCAGAGGAGCCTTCATAGCTCCGTTTATCTGCCTGAGATTCCTGACAATGGTCTTCGATGGCCTGTTTTATAGAACACTGATTTACCTGACCCGATAAAGTTAATGCATAATCACAACTATTCCCGTATGACTATGGACGTACATACCTCTCCGCCTGTTCGAGGGACTGGTATCAAGCGAAGGGGAGTAAGATCCACCGAAGACACTACCTTCTTCTGTAAGGAGTAGGGTTCCTGGATCACCTGGCGGTTTCGTCCCCAGGAACTCGTCCAAACTAGCTCCTCCCTCGAAACATCCACAGAGCTCTAGCAAAAAGCTACAAATGTGTCCTTCCTCGGTTGTAACGGTAAACACTGCTAATATGAATCTCGGAAAACACGGACGGACGAACGGACAAGGCTATGTCGTTACCGTTAGATGGCTGAGCACCCGGAGCAGCCTACAGTACTTATTGGGCGATCCTGGCACCGGTGTTCGGTTTCGTGACGTCAGACGCGCAGTAGCGCGAGCCAGGCACGCGCCCGGCAATGGTTAAGTCGGACATGGCGGTAGCTCTCCCCTATCTGTCTCAGTGCATTTCAATGGATTCCTCTGTAACCGCTAAGGTTGTCTCTCACCAATAAATGACGTCGGTCATGTGAGTGGTGGCGGCAGGTTCCTGTCGTCGCCGCGAGACTGATGAAAAAAACCCGGCTAGTGTCCTCAGCGTGTGCTATGTACAGTCCGCGTCCGTGAAATGTTGTCGCATAAATGACATCCTCATTAACGATATATCATGATATTGAATATATTTACGCCTTCCAGTGCTACGAGGATGCATGTACCAGGATACAGGACATTGTGCTTTTTGTGTATATCCGTGCGGCGGGATAGCCGAGTGGTTAAAGCCTTCGTTCGTCGAACCAAAGGCCTAAGTTCTATTCCGAGCATGGACGAAGTTGTGACGTCCATTTTTGGTGATAGTGCCAAAAGGCTAAAAGTTACGTAAACCATTACTCATTCACTCACTCAATGCCCATACTCACTCACTCTATGGAAATCATGACGTCAGAGGGAACCATTCCTGGACGCCCAGCTGCGTATTGGTTGATAGAGTCTGCGATCTTGCCAGTTGCTGGACATACAAGCGTCAAACATGGCACTGGACAAGGGAACCTTGACCCCTGCCCCCGGTACAGACACAAATGCAGAAATATAATCTTACAATCCTCAAGCAGTCTACTCTCATCCTCAGTTCTGTCAGCCTATTCGTCCTATTTTCAGCTGTGAAATTAAGAGACTTGTCGTTTCCTTGTGGTTTAAAGTGGTTTCTAATATAATCAAATACGATAATTCATGTTGGGGATTTAACGATCTGCCATGTCTTACTGATGCATCATATGTCAAATGTCATATGTGGCAGTTCCGGGTAAGAAATGTACCCACCATCCTGCCCCTGTCGTTTAAGCAGACTTTGTTACCCGTGAAGATCCGGGTTAGAATTGATCTTCAGTAACCCATGCTTGTCGTAGAAGGCGACTAACGGGATCGGGTGGTCAGGCTCGCTGGCTTGGTTGACACATGTCATCGGTTCCCAATTGCGCAGATTGATGCTCATACTGTTGATCACTGGATTGTCTGGTCCAGACTCGATTATTTACAGACCGCTGTCATATAGCTGGAATATTGCTGAGTGTGGCGTAAAACTAAACTCACTCACTCACTCAGCAGACTTTGTTGATCGGATGGATGGGCTCGTGATGGTCAGACGATGGGGTAGTAGCTCACAATATCAATCACAATCTGGTCCTGATCCACGTGAGCGGTCTCATTGCTGAAATATACCTGTGTCAAGCGTTATACAGACAAAACAAACAGGAAGACAAGCAGTGATAACAGTAGGCAGTTGCAAGCACTGTCTACATTCCGTTCTCCAGATAACGGTATGTGGACTATTTTAGGAAACATTTTGACCTGATTAGTTCACAAAGCCTGCACTGACATTTTAAAGTCCCGGTGTCCGATGCCTTGTTTGCTGTTCCGTCCGGCACATGGCCATGATAACAATAATAAGTGTGTGAGTTTAGTTTTACGCCGCTTATCACGGCGGGGGACACCAGAAATGGGCTGCACACATTGTACCCATAGGGGGAAGCCATCTCATCCTTCAGGGTACCCATTCTCTACTTGTTGAATAGTCTCCTTGCCTACGGAGGCACAACTTCTAGGACATAAACGATGTTCCAGAAAGTCGCAGGATTCAAGCTTTCCAAACACGGTTACCTATGTAATAATATTCTCCGCAAAGATTTGTAACGCGTACGCTTTGTACAGGAAAGTGAATGAGTGAGTGATTATGGTTTACATCAGCAATGATGCAGCTATTTACGGAGAGAAACGTCAACAGTCTTATCAGTAAACAAACACAATAAACGCCAAGCTAAACTTATTAAAAAAACAACAACAGTAAAATATATCATTCAAGGGTTCAACTACTGACTGTTTAAAAAAGGGCCACGGAACAACGATGTGAGGCAAGATGGCCACGTATTGCCATTTGCCCCACATACTGCCACTCGTGCACATCACCCCTCACCGTCACCTTCACCTTCCGTCCCCATCCCCTCCCAGAAAGAAACATCTAAATCAATAAATACCATTGAGAGTGTGTGTGACAGACAGAGGGGACACGGGTGGCCCAGTTTCTCAGAAGCCGCAGTTAGGGTACATCATTTTGACACACCAGAGTTCGAATCCCTGTTTCTAAATTTATCAGCAGGCTCATCACAGTGTTCTTCGGGATCGCCAAAGTGGTAAACGTCTGTTACCTGTGCAGCGTCGAGCTAAGCTCCCACGTGACGCGGACATGCAGTGATGCAACTCGAGCACATTTCAAAGCCGTTTAAACCAACTCACACACTTCAGTTTCCTTTCGTACAGCTTTGGAAGTATGAAAATCAGTTTCCGCCCGCCGTATATTAATTCAACACTTCAGACATCCCAAACACAGGTTGTCTGTGTCTTACTTGGAGTTTCACCCAATTAAGCTGGTAAGTCGTCATATAAACAGTGTGCGAAATAGCCATTGGTCCGCTAGCCCGTGGCTAGTAAAAACCCAGTCGGGCCAGTAAATCTCCAGTCACTGGCTAGCGAATTTTCTAGGGGTGATTTTGTAAATATATCACTCTCTCCGACCTGCTAAGTTATTAAACACTTTTAAATCATGAAGATTATGGCCTATATTATAGCAGCAATTTAATGGTGAAACCTGTGTCAGGCCGACAATATCTTATTCTCATCTAACTTTTGCTTAGTTTCTGCATTCAAATTTCGGGCCAGTGAATTATGTTGTGGGCTAGTAATTTTCAGGCGTAACTAGTCCGACTGGCTAGCAAAATTTGAAAAGTATTTCGCACACTGCATATAAATAACTAGAACACTGCAAAAGGTGACCTTAAACCTCGCACTCACAGTGATAGACAGATGCAGATAGACGCTTGACCTCCCAGGGTATTTTACAAGAGATGTGTAAACGTTCGTTTGTTTGAACACAAAGAAGGATGTCCTGGGATAATAAAATTTAATTCAATATCAACATTCATTCCACGATGCTGGTGACACACCAAGTGCGTGGCAACACATGTGATGACCAAATTTGTGGATGAACGTAATCGGAGAGTCGCGTGGAAGCGTTAGTAAAATACCCAGTCCGCCATGTGATCCTCTAGCAAAGTGGAGTTATCCCCCTTCCTTCAGCTGGCTCCGTTGCTTAGGGTAACACGAAACCAAATATTTTCTCATTTTCCCCTATAGTAACATTATATTTTAAAAGAAATTAACTAAGTGTTAATAGCTATTACATGCACATGTGCGCATGGTCCGGCCTTAAAGAAGCAACAAAATTATAACATAAACAACCCAGCCAACTCCTTTTCCGAAGACCCGTTGTGAAGATCCGGGTTAGAATATTGATCTTCTACTAGTAACCCATGCTTGTCGTTAGAGGCGACTAACGGGATCGGGTGGTCAGGCTCGCTGACTTGGTTCACACATGTCATCGGTTCCCAATTGCGCAGATCGCTGCTCATGCTGTTGATCACTGGATTGTCTGGTCCAGACTCGATTATTTACAGACCGCCGCCATACAGCTGGAATATTGCTGAGTGCGGCGTAAAAATAAACTCACTCACTCACTCACATTTAAAAAACACAAAAATCTTACACAGAATCACCCAACAACAGCTGTCGGGTGATTCAGTCTGCACTGAAGGCTGATTTGCTGTAGTGTAACCTTGAACACAGGTGTAATGGCTTCCATCTTCTCCCGTCCTTGTCTTCGTTATGCTGTCTGTATTTATGGAATCCCTGGTTAAAACAGGTCTCGTCAACAGCAAATAAACCGGGTAGTCAGGCCTATTGATTGTATGTCACCTTGCCCCGACAGTGTGGATCGCTGCTCATAATATTGATCACTGGATACTCAGTTCCAGCCTGGATTAAAGACATGGATATGTACCCCCCGATATGTAGCTAGAATACTGAGGCGTTAAACCACAGTCGGACAATATGTGGAACATATGATATCACAAGGTATTTGCGGCGTAAACCAGCATGCGCTCACTCGGAAAAACGACACATGACACAGTTTTTGATTTATACACGAAGGACTTTAAAAAGAAGCAACACTGGTTTTAATTGGTTTCCGGTTTTATTTCAGTTTATTTATCCTAATCCCAACAAACATTATCGCCAACAAACAACGGAATGTGTAATGTTAACATAAAATTTAAGGATTTCAAACTAACATGCATAGCTTCGTCAAGGGTTAATACAATATGTCTATAGAAAACAGTACCCAGTTCTAACGTTGTCCCGGCTCCGGACATGGCATATATGCTCAGAGGTTGTATTGAAGGACATTTAGGGACATTTACGTTGTATTAATAGTCCGGTTTATCGTTAACAGTTGGAATACGATCAAGGAAACCTTGAAGTACTTGAGTTGCATACAGATCACAGATAGCTCGTGAAATTTGCATTTCAATACATTCTGTTTCATCTCATTTGATACAGTGAAGAAAAATTGCACGTAAAAGCATAGCGATCTATTTGCAACACGTCTTATAAAACATTATTATAAAAATAGCCTGCTGTTCTACTTAGCCTCGTTGTCAAAGAGACGCAACGAAAATAATCTCGGATATACCATTGTAGGCAGTGATATACCTCTTATATCACGGAAATCCGAGCATTTGAAAGACATTTGTCATCAGAAAATGGTTGCATAAGAGCATAATTACTCCTCAAGTAAGAGAGTCCTGGTGCACCGAGACTAAAGGGACAGCACTCTTGGATGCCTCGTGTTTTTTCTCAAATCCTCCAAGCTGAACGTGATACTGCTGTAGGCGTGTTATAGGAATAGCGACAATAATACAAACTTAAAAAGCAGTATACGATATTTCTACATATCGATACATATAAAAATACGTACGCCACATCACGATTCGTGTCAAACATATTATGCCTGAAAGTCCTCCATGTGGCCCAGCCAACACGTTGATAACCAGTTTGTGTTCAACACGCACCTCTGGTTAGTTTAGACTCGTGATTTTGCAATCAGAATTACATTTTTTGGTTTCGTGATAAATATAATCATCATTAATTGTAAAACCTCGTGAATGTTATATTTAAATTCAGAATAAAACAAAACAAAAATAAATGCATGATTATGAGTATATGGTATCAAATCGAAAGGTGTAAAATTGCGATGCAGTGCTTCATAGGAGAATCTGAACAGATTCTTGTAATTCTGATCTAATGACGATAGATACAGGAAAGAACATCCGAAGTCATTAAGCAGTAATTGCACCAGGCTGACAAGGGCCTGTAAGTGGTGACCTACGAAACTTGAGATTTACAAGTCAAGTGGGTGGGAGGTGGGTGTGGTTGAAATTGAGACGGGGTTGGGAATTGGTATTGTCATGAAAAATGACAAAGCGAATGAGTAATATTTTTATTTACATTATTTAGGGGCCCTATAGCGATAAATTTATAGGTATTTGAGGGTCAAAGTAATATTTCATGAATGTGGTTTGGGTCGGGGGTCAAAGTTTGTTTTGGGATGGGCGTCAAAGACATGTTCCATGTATGTGGTGGAGTAGGGGAAGGGCGCGGCAGACATGAAGAAATGTTACATAATATCAGCAGAATATCATAAAGTCCGTCGGTGTACAAATAGAGACGGAAGTCAACTTTGGGGGTCAACCAGAGTTGCGCCACCTACATCCGGTAAGACGGGTTGTCGATGCCCAGTCTAACCTCCAGGTCACCGGTGTCCAGAGGGGTGTAATCTTCCTCTAGCATCGCTTTCTCTTTCTTCTCCGGGATGGCTTCGTTCGCGTACACTGGGGGCTTCTCCTTGTAGGCAGGGGGCATGGCCATTCCCCCTAGCGTGTAGATGGCGTTCTCGTAGGCTGGCGGTGGCGGGGCAGCAGCTGTGGGTTCAGGCTCCCGGTTACGTCGGCGACAACACAGCAAGATGACGATGACGATGACAACAAGGAGGAGGAGGAGTGCTATGCCACTTCCGATATACATGGCATGTTTTTCCCTGACGTCTCGGTCATGGTGTTGGTTGATGAGCGGGGCTGTATAAGAAAACGAAGAGGTGAGCGACTCGAGAAATTAATCATATCGGGATGTATATGACAAATACGGACTGGCAAACCAGTGTTTACATGCACCAAATCACCGAAGCGCAAAGAATCATACAGTCAGCTCGCTCAATTTGACCATCAGATTACTATTTTAATCTTGGATCCGAGATGGCTACGGAATAGGATCCGGATCTGGAATCCTGATTGAAACATGACAATATGATTATGTATTTAGTAGACGTACAAACTGGAAATACACACCTTCATGATGTAGTGGGATGGGTAGACATGACAGAAAATTGTGTTTCTTACCGGTTTCAGTGACCTTGACAAAGAAGTGGCAACGGGCGATGTTCCCTTCGTAGTCTTCGGAGACAAAGACAATAGGGTGCTCTCCCTTCTTGAAGACGTCTCCGGACTTATGGCGGGAGGTTGGTGGACGGACCAGGCCGACGTTGTCCACAGCTTTGGGCATTACCCACGTGGCTTGTCCCTCCTCGGTGAGGAACACGTCCGTCGGGCAGTAGGTAAAGTTGGGCGCGTGTACGTCTGGGAAAACAACATGACATCGTCATGACATAGGCTAAATTGATCGCGGAAATATTGCAATCTTAAGGTACAAACCAGATACATCACCATCGAATAACCATTTTTGTCCTATTTGTTTAACCACCATTAAAACGGGTGTATATGTTACAGAGAGATTGTGAAATCAGTCATTTCGTGAAATGACTAAGAGGATCAGCCATTTCGCTATTGGAATTATAAATAGGTTTGGACGTTTCCATCAAATTTGATGTAAATGTGCTTGATAACGATTGCCAATGTTCGTGATGCACGAAACAGATCGCCAAAACGCATTTTGTGGCCCGACTCTCAGAAACACGAAACACATGTCTTAGTCGGATAGATGGGAAAGATCGTGCGAAAAATCAGTATAAATGGCCTGTCCAACACTGCAATATCACTGCACATAAAGTCACATAGAGAGAATGTCAAGGTTAACCCAGGAAGAAAGAGAACGAGTAGTAGGGATAGTTGAATAGCTGAACCTCTTAGATATTTCACGAAATGACTGAATCTTTTAGTCATTTCACAATCTGACTGTAACATATATACTGAGTCAAACTTCACATTCTTTCTTCAGGGCACTATAAAAGAAGGAGAGGTGGTAAGATGGTTAAATTGTTATTATTTCATTGCTGAGATCTGTGTGATGTACTCGATACACTGACAGTGCCATAATCAGTTCCATTAGGCTACACCGCCGTTCCAAAACATGGGTATACAGAATGTCAAGTCACAAGAATAAAAATGCGAAATTTCTCAGTTCAATATCGTGTATGGCCGCCCCGCGCATTCACCACTGCCAAACACCGTCTCCTCATCGACTGCCTGATGCTTGTGAACACGTGGTTGGGGATTCTGCGCCATTGCTCTTGCAAGGCATCGCTAAGTTCCTGCAAATTCTGAGGTTGGTTCCTAAGACCACGAAGCCTTCTCTCAAGTGCATCCCAAACGTGCTCTATTGGATTAAGGTCAGGGGACCTCGATGGCCAGTCCATGACGTTGATTCCAGCGTTTTGAAGGAAATTTCGTGTCAACATCGCGGTATGCCGCCGAGCATATCATGCTGGAACTGTAGACCTGGGCCATGAGCCGCCATGAAAGGAACGAGTTCAGGGGTGAGCACCTGGTCGCGGTAAGCAGCAGCTGTGAGGTTTCCACGGATGACCAGAAGACGGGAACGGTTGTTCCCACAGAAAGCACCCCACACCATGCAACTTCCGCCCCCGAATCTGTCGACTTCCTGTACACAACATTGGGCATACCGTTCACGACGTCGTCTCCAGACTCTATGCCTGCCGTCCGCGAATCTGAGGGTAAACCTGGATTCATCGCTAAAGAGGACTCGATTCCAGTCTCTCTGGCCACAGCAGACGTTGACGTTGATGAAACGGCGTCAATATTGGCCCACGATATGGACGTCAAGAATGGAGATTGGCAGCCCGCTACCGATTTCGAATGGTCTGTGAGGACAGTCGACCTCTAAACATCTCAGCCCTGGTTCGTGTAGCCGGCAGAAATCTGTCACGTAGGTGACGTAGGACGATTTGACGGTCTTCTGCTCGTGACGTCACACGTGGACGACCCGACCTTTGGCGATCAGAAGTGGTGCCAGTTTGTTGTAGACGACCTCGCAAGTCATACACAGTACGACGGCTGCATCCCATTGCTATTGCGACGTCAATAACTGATCTTCCCGCTTGCAACATGACAACGGCACGTTCACGTTGCACATTTGACAATCGTGGCATTTCAAGTACCGTTAGAACTGTGGTTTAAAAGTGTTTTTTCAATTCTTGAGGCCAATGCAAACACGTGCATATGGAGAAAACTTCGATGCGAAGATCACGTGATCGACTGCACGTGCAAAACCTGATTTGGCACTAACGTCATTTGCACGACGAATGGATGGGTTTGAGTGGGTTTTGCTAACGTTTTTCTAGAGTCGAAAGATAGGGATCCCATTTCGGATACATAGATGTATCATCAGAGAAAAATTATTCATTATTTTTCAAATTACATTTTGTGAAGTTTCTTTTTTTGACTCAGTATACATTGTTAAACGGGAGTTCAGTGTCCCCTTATATTTAAAAAGATTAACAGGTAGTATTCATGAAAACTCGTTTCAACATTCTTGGAAACAGTTTCCAGAAATGTTGTTGTGGTGATCATACTAGAATTGATTATTTACAGACCGCCGCCATAAAGCTGGAACGTGGCTGTGTGTGACGTTAAACAAACAAACCTTACCTCTGATCCTGACATGGAACTCGCACCGGGCGTAGTTCCCTCTGTAGTCCCGGGACGACGTTGCGATGACGGTGTCGAAGTTCTGCTCTCCAATGCCGGCTACGAACCGTGTCTTGGACATTCGGACCTCGAGGGCAACGCCCTTGTGATCACGTGCGGTTAGTTCCTGGGGCAGACGCGCCTGTTCTTGTCTTGAGCGACATCGACGATGACGAGCAGCTTAGGGCAGTTTAAGAACGTGGGCTCTGTGAAACAGACAAATTTATGCAGTTCTCTAAAAATAACGTAGTCTAAGATTTCTCGGAAAAGAAACAATTTCGGTGGAAATGCATGACGACCTAACATTTATAATAAGTTGTGAAAAAATGTTCAGCATCTCTAAATTCAACTTGACTTGACATTCGAAAAGAATTAACTGACTCAGAAACTACAAATGTCAAATCTGATACATACTGTTGAGATAAATTCGAAATAATTCACTACAAAAAGTACTTTAGCCAGATGTTTTAAGTCTTACAGTTATTTGGCGCTTAGCATTGTTTTAATCATTCAAATGTTATTGGATGAAATAAAGAAATTAACATTCATGCCAATTAAAGGCGTAGAAATGCCGAGCGTCAGCCAGGGAAACATTAAGCACCATCTTTTAGGTACAATCAAACCACTGACTTGCCAAACACATCTCGCTCTATCCACAAAAAAAAACACTGAAAGGTTCTTTCACAGATATTACTTACCCTTATACAAGTCTGGCTTCACTGGTGCTGGATCTGTGAAACAACAAATCGTGTAAATTAAATACGAGTAAAACAGAATTGTGGTGAAAATGTTTACAAGCTTGAATATGATTAGGTGAAGTTAAAGGAGAGCGTAATACTAGTTATTGGATACAATCTGTTAGTGGGGCTGTACGGAAACACTGGTGTTAAAGGTGGTTATAATGTCTAACATATTTCAATCTACATTATCTATGTAAGTATTACAATACAAAACAACACCCAAACCCACTGTGACAACTAGACACGGATTAGACACATGGGCAGCGACACAACATGCAAGTGAAGGCATGAGTGAGGTGAGGTGAAATTGGGTTTTTCGGGCGTACTTGAGAATATTTCGCTCATTTGACGACGTGCATGCGTGTGTATGTGTATGTGCGGCTGCTTGTACTAGCCCAGACTGAAGCTGGTTTTATAGTGCTACCCCACTGAGATACCATGCCGCAGTGAAGCATGAATACCCTACTCAGACACAGTATACTGACTCCGAGCCGACCAGTCCTTGTTGTACCCATTAATGCCGAGCGCCAGACAGGGACCAACAAGTACCATATTTTAACGTCTTTTGGTATGACGCGGTCGGGGATCGAACCCGCGACCTTCCGCTCTCCGGGCGGACACTCTAACCACTACACCACGGAGGCGGTCGAAGGCATGAGTACTTCAATACGACCTCGAATACATGCACGTTTGTACAGATACTACAGATCCACGTAAACACACGAATATAGATCGGTTCCACGTACACATGCACTTATGTTATACCATTGTAGTAGCAGCGTTGCTACAGACACGTGCACGTGTTTAAGCGTTAGAACTAGACAGGTGCACGTCCGATGCCTACACAAACACGTATACACCTCCGCCACTACAGACACGTTCATGTGTACAGCCCGTATTAGAAAAGTACACGTGTAGATCTTAATGCCAACCGCCGTCGAATACACATGCAAGTGTACATCGCTGTGAAAAATACATGCACGTGTGTATCGCTGTGACATATACATGCAGGTTGCACCAACGTCAAATATAGATGTACGTGAGCATTAGTTGACAGATACAACGAGAAAATAAAAGATATATCGGAGGGCCTTTACCACAAACATCAAATGGTCAACATAATTGATCAAACATATTAATGGCTATTCAGCTGGAAGGCATCGTCTTACGTTTTTTCGTCAACGTCATGACACACACGAGCGACATGGCATTACACACACACACACGTCAGTGGCAACATCAATTCCATGGACATGCACAGGGAAGACGCTACAGAAGCGACACAGTGATCCCACTACATCGACAAACAACGGTGTTGTTACCGGTGAAGAAGGTATGGTCCTCGGTAGTTGAGGACGTCGTGTACACCGTCGTTATTAGCGACGTTGTTACATTGGGCGCTTTAGTGGAGAAATATTGAAGGGAGTTATTGGACTGGTATGATTGTTGGTTCATGTGATTGTCTGGATTGTCTAATATGTCTACGTTCAAGAATCTGAAAACATGAAACTTCAACAAAGAATACATTGTTTCAAGATGTTTTTGCTTATCTTTTTTTACAAAAACAACGATTTTGAATAATAAAAATATGTGCTTTTGCAACTGCGATTGAAAAAGTTTGGTCTCCATAGGCTCCACCCAGACTATCAAACGTCCTTTCCTATGGTGACCAGTTCAAACCATGACTCGTCAAGGCATACATAACTCCGGGTACAAATTATATAGCTATTAGTAGGTTAATGTTGTTAAGGTTCAAGGAAACAATATTCTATCTAGTCTACTCAAAAGAACACTAGATTCATTCAAATTACCAGAAATAATCCTGGCATAGCGGATTATCGTTACTTGTATGAAAGATTCGAGTGTTCTTTAAGTTCGTTTGTGTAGTTTATATCACGGTGGCCTATATATAGATATACCTGAATCGGGAAAACCCGTGACTGATAGCATGAGCATCGAGCCACGCATTCATGGTGCGATGATGTATAATCATGTAAATCACGGACACGAAATCCGCGTAAAAGACAAAAAGGGGTAGCCCGGTGAGTAAAGCGTGGCACGCCAAGTCAAAGATTCGGGTTCGATTCCCCACATTGGTACAATGTGTGAAGTCTGTTCTGGATGCCCGGTTATGATACTGCTGGCAGTTTGATAAAAGTGTGGTAACACTCACTCACTCACTCACCCACCTACTCGCTCACGACCAACATGTGGCATTAGGGGCGAATTCTGTACAAAACAACCTTAGCGCTAAGACTTTGTTAAGTTTATGTTAAGATATGAGGGTCACGGTCACCTTAGCGCTAAGACTTTCTAAGTTTATGTTAAGATATGGGGGTCACGGTCACCTTAGAACTACAAAGTACAATCGCCTTGTACAACGCTACCCTGGAATCTTCATACGCACATTTCATATGATCTATCCACACAATGCTATCTCAGTTCACTTGACTAAGATGTACGATCGAATACTTCCGTACCTGCGCAGTACTCGCAACATTTGGTTTCATCCTGTCTGATTTCTTGGCAGTTCTCTACGGGGGGACAACTCTGTCGCTGGCACTTGGCGCCACCATAAGGCTTACTGGGGTCAGGGGTCATGCATGTGCAAACGTCACAAGCCGTGGGGTAGAAAATGTCGCCGATTTTGTAGTTGTGTCCTAGATAGGGACAGGTGTAGTTGGCAGGATGGGCACACAACCGGCCACATCCGTTACTGCAACACTTCTGCTTCAACGGACATTCTGAGTCTACTTCACATGACACTGCGCATGTGCCGACGGAAGTTGGGGTCAAGGGCGGACAATCGCCTTCCTTCTCCGGCTCGGGAACACCTGTGGATTAAATGTCTGTTATTTACAGTGAAAACATGACACGCGGGCTCCCCTACTTAATGAGAGAGCCAAAAGGTAAACAACATACTTATATACCCATATATAATGGTTATCTACCCCTTCAATTTTATTAATAGGCTGGGGGTGACAACCGTTTTGGGCAGGAGTATATCCTTAGAAATAACGTATATATTTATACTTGATTAACCCAAAAAAGAAAAATGTGTTTCTGAAATAAGATTGAACCTAATTACTTACGTCGATCACAATTCCTTCCCGTGTAACCATGGATACAGGAGCATCTGGCCTCCCCGTCCTCAGCCACACAATTTCCGTAACTTCCGCAGCCATTTTCACAGACAGCTGGAGACATAAAGGTGAGTGAGTAAATGTTGTTTTATGCCGCAGGTCCTTATGTTACGCTTTTATCGCTGCGCGTTTAGATAGGTCACGTTTTGGGGGTTTGGGGTGTTTTTAAAATTATTTCCAAACAGAGAATGGGCTCCAAATACACATATACAATTTCAAGGCTGCAAACAAGTGGTTGATGTCATTAGCAATGACATACAGTGTCTGGATATTATCAGGTCACATCAGCCAGGTGACAAAATGTAACCACCTATTTTTTACAGAAACAATGCAGTGTGTGCTTCCCTGTGTTCCTCTCCAGTATCTCCACTATGTGTTCCCGTGAAATGTCTGTATCACTGACCTTTTTGACCCCGTGAAAATCCGGATTAAATTCGACTAACGAGATCAGAGGGTCAGGTGACTCACTTAATGCACGTCATCGTGTTCCATGGCGAGATCGAAGCTTACGAGGCGTGCACAAGTCTATATGGAACAGTCGATCAGTTTAAATCCTAGTTAATATAATGAAACAAGGTGTCCCTTAGTCTCACAGCCCCTGAACCTCATTATTTTCTCTTTTTTTTTGCCTAACCCTCCCTGCAATGCTAAAGCCCTAAATGAAGTCCAGATATCCTCAGGTTCTGAATCGCCCATCTCACTGGGGCTCCTTTTCAATTTAAAAGGAATTGTTTATATCTATCAAAATCGTAAACAGTCAGAAACTAAGCGTTAGTTTAGGTCTCCGAATGTAAGACTGACGTGCTTAGACTGTCGTCTTTATCGAGACTGGCATATTATATGGCGAGGTTAACTAGACATGCTCAGCATTGGAGCAAGGCCAGAAGCAATGAGCGTATTTTGTACAATTCTTTAGATGTTGTGATGAGGGGTTAATACTCACGGTTCTCGCATCGGGTTCCGTTGAAGTGTTCTGAACACACGCAGCGTGGACGTCCTCCAACGACGTCACACATACCGTCGTTCATACACTCCAGATCACATTTAACTGGAGAAGAAACAAAGACACATCACACATCAGTGAGACAAATTGTTTGATTCATTATTATTTTTTCGGAGAGTCGAGAGAGGATCTCACCTTCTTCACATCTTGTGCCGGTGTACATGGAGGGGCATTCACATTTTGGGCCTGAGTCGTCCTCTACGGCCGTGCCTCCGTTCATACACTCGATAGCGGGCTTAGGATCGACACCTGCAACAGCAACGTCGTCAACGTCAGTATCAGAGCTGGTATCAATATTGATATGAATATCAACTACGTATCACCATCACCATGAACTTGAACATGGACACCGACATCAACATCCACATGGACACCGACATGAACATTGACATCAACAATGACATCGTCATGAACATCGACATCAACAATGACATCGTCATGAACATCGACATCAACAATGACATCGTCATGATCATCGACATCAACAATGACATCGTCATGAACATCAGCATAAAAAATGACACCGACATGAACATTGACATCAACAATGAAATCGTCATGAACATCGACATCAACAATGAGACGGACATGAACATCGCAGTCAGCCATGACACCGACATGAACATTGACATCAACCAAGACACCGACATGAACATCGACATCAACCAAGACACCGACATGAACATCGACATCAACCAAGACACCGACATGAACATCGACATCAACAATGACACCGACATGAACATCGACATCAACAATGACACCGACATCAACATCAACATCAATCATGACACTGACATCGACATCAATATCGACATCATCGACAGCGATAGTGCGCTGCTGCATTTGTCGAAATTCAGGGATCTGTACAAGCATATTCCTTTAACAGGATGACTTAAAGCTTCGTTGTTTGCTTAGAAACCAATACAGCGTATTTCTAGTGATGTTTAACAAGTCAAGAAAAATATTTTTCAACTCACGGATGGAGCAGGTTCTCAATTCCTCGTCAAACTTCCATCCAGGACAACAGGCGATGTAGCAGCGGTACATAATACAGGTGTACGTCACCGTCTTCTCACACCACTTCACGTTAGAGTACCGACGTCGGTAGCGACTGCAACATCAGATACGGAGACATTATCTCAAAACATATCACCTACCTGTTTTCATCTTGATTTTAGATTTCAGGTAATAAGTAGAATTTATATAATCCAGCTTTTAGCTGTGACTAGCTGACTTTGGTTGTTTAGAAAACCGACACACACTTACAATCTCCAGTAGTTGAAATAGAAGTCCGCCGAACGCCGTTTCCTTGTCAACGCACCATCCTCGTGGTCGGGGTCCTCCTCCGACGACTCCTGACTCTCCTCCGACGACTCCTGGTCAGGGCATGGGGTAGTACACTGTACGGGTGCAGTTGTCGACCTTGGTCTCTGTGTACTTACATCGATGGTCAGGACCGTGGCGGCGCCCTCTGTAGGAAGAATAGGTGAGTGGGTTTACTTTTACGCCTCTGATAGCAATTATTCCAGCAGTATTACGGCGTAGGACACCAGAAATGGGCTTGACACATTGTACCCATGTCCGGAATAGAACCCGGGTCTTCGGTGTGACGAGCGAACTCTTTAATGGAGGTCTGCATTACATTCTCATTGTCTAAATTTCTTCACTTTTAAGATATTCTTTGGGGTCTTTTAATTGTACTTTAAAATGCAATTTAACCAAATTTATTTGAATCTTCATTTCAGAGACTAAATATTATTTGAGGACCCCATTTGGATACAGATTTAGAACTGGCCCCCAGCAGCAGGTGGTGGGCGAACATGGCGACCAAATGAATTAGACGGTTAGTCTCGGTGACGTGGTTATCTTACACCTGCGGCGGATTGGTGCTCACAATATCGATTACTGGATTGTCTGGTTTAGAGTTGATTATTTACAGCCAGTCATGATATCGTTGAACTATTGCTGAGTGAGGCGTTAATAAACAAACAACAAAATGTGTAAAACTCATTACGTTGTGTGGCAAGCCAGCTGCGGCGTAAAACTACATTCACTCACATCGAAGACAGGCGACACAGTTCTTGCTTAATAAGTACGGCAATAAACCGCGCGCACGCACGCACACACACACACACACACAAACATATCAAACACACACAATGTTATATATGGTTACCCGGGGAAGCATAACTGACCAGCGTCTCAACGTGACGTGTACAACTATTTGCTGTCCAAGAAATATCAGCTGGACACTATCCCAGACAGATCACATAATAACAGCCCTAACATATATCCCACTCGTCCCAAGACCGAACTTTCTAAAAATATGCCGAAAACAAGTTTTCTTATCTAGCATCCTTGCAAGCGCTGAGACACCTTCTTGCAAATTTACTGAAGCATTTTGTGATTGAGTATTTGCGATTTGTAACATGTCATTTATGTCAAAATATATTACAAAATGTAGATAGGGAAGATCTGTTCGCATGGTTCACCCGTGGCACAATTTGATTTCAATTCGGACGGCTGTTGAAGGCAATAACTATGCCACTCATTACAAAGCCGTATATGTTTGGCTTCTATATACTCTAGCAGAGCCCACTGATAAAGACGTATACCAAAACGGCTTGGATCAATCACACACTATTCACGTGTACATAGCTGGTGACATATATCCCGTCTAGGCTGCCACTTGGCTGGGGTCGTTCTTGAATAGCTATGCACAGGTGATGAGACAGGTGCTTTGTCTGTCACGCCTTTCAAGCTGACGGATCACGTGCAACAGCACAATTTCAGCGACGAATATACGTGACAAGGCAACAAAGACCCTGACGCTGAATATAACCTGACACATTTAAAACAGAATCATTTCCTTTCATCGTTTAGGACACTTGTTGCATTTTTACATTCGAATACTTGACATGTTCGATTCTGAAACGACAAAGTATACCATTGTACTTAACTTGTACGACAAAAGAGTGTTAAGCATTATATGATTACGTTTTGTTAACACTGGTTACTCCTGTATGTGGTTTTCTCTCCTTTCATACTGAAGGGGAAGATCACAGGAACGTAGCAGACGATGTTGTCACCATTATGCAACGACGTTTTCAACACGAGACGTCGTAACTACAAACGTGTGACGAGTGAACGCTTTATCCACTAGGCTACCCCACCGCCCCTGCTATTGTAAATCTACTGCGTGTCACCACATGATATCCATATGTACGTCTTGGTTGTTATCACGTTTAGATTGATAATGGTGTACAGATCTTCCTCGAAACGTCGCTCCTTGCAACAAACAAGATTGATTGATTGAGTTTAGTTTTACGCAAAACTCAGCAATATTCCAGCTATATGGCGGCGGTCTGTAAATAATCGAGTCTGGACCAGACAATCCGGTGATCGACAGCATGAGCATCGATCTACACAACTGGTATACGATGACATGTGTCAACCAAGTCAGCGAACCTGACATCCCGATCCCGTTAGTCGCCTCTTACGACAAGCATGGGCT